GTGGCCTAGAGGTTAAGGTGTTCGCCTCTCATTCAAAGGTCCCGGGTTCGAATCCGGGTAGTGACGAAAAAATTTCTTCTCAAAAACTGTCTCCTTTCACCTCATTTCCTGCTCTCTAACAATGTTCTGTCGTCTGCTTTCGTCTCCACTTTTTTCTCCCACCCCCTCACCTCCTTTGCCCCCTCCTCTGGGCTCCTGGCTCTTTCTGCAGCCTTTCTGCTTTTTCTCCTAGGCTCCTTCTCACTGCTGTCTTTCATCCACACCCCTGGTCTTCTGGTAGGAAATATCTAATGCCTAGCCTTCTCGGACAAGGACGAAAAAATCTTGGAGGACCCGTGAGCAAGTTGTGCACGTTAAAGATCCCTTGTTGGTGTAAAATCTATTAGAGTAGGCTTCGGCCGCCCCCCGAACAAAATTAAAAATTCCCTAACAACTGGAAATGTTTAATGTGACCCGCGCGCACATATGACTTTATGCAATTGCGAGCTCCGTAAAACACTTACAAAAACAAAACAGTAGATAACTCAAATCTGTAGGCTGAGTTTGTCAATTTGTAAAAGACATTGACATGCTAAACTTTAAGAAAATAGTATCAGTTAAAAATCCACAAATTTGACCCCAGTGTCGATTTTCCGCCGCTTTCCCATTCGTGGTTAGAGAGAAGTAACTCGTTTTGTCAGCACGTTTTTGCAATTGGTCTTCTCAATTATCTAAATTATGGTGTTGACCGGGTCGTTAAACTGTAACAACGAAACATAACAAGAAAAATCGTTCGTTTGCTATGTCATCTCAAGGCTCTGTCAGGGTGGCTCATCAAGCACAAACAACCTGATTGAACAGCGTAGATGTACATACCAAAAGACCCTTTAGCGGACGAGGAAATTGTGTTTTCCCTCTTAGCGGCATTTCTATAACTCGTAATCTTGATGAGGCCAGGGGTAATGTCCTTCGAAATAATATGCTCTTTGCTTTCAAAGGCGTTGAACCCGCGAAATCCTGCCTCACAGGTGATCTCTCTCTCTCTCTCTCTCTCTCTCT